ACAACAACAACAACAACAACAACAACAACAACAACAACAACAACAACGTCAACAACTGCAACAACAATAACACCAACAGCAACAACAACAACAACAGCAGCAACAGCACCAACAACAACAGCAACAACAACAACAGCAACAACAACAATAACACCAACAGCAACAGCAACAACAACAACAACAGCACCAACAACCGCAGCAGCAGCAGCAACAACAACAACAATAGCAACAACAGCAGCAACAAAACAGCAACACCAACAGCAACAACAACAACAGCAGCAACAGCACCAACAACAACAGCAACAACAACAGCAACAACAACAACAATAACACCAACAGCAACAACAACAACAACAGCACCAACAACCGCAGCAGCAGCAACAACAAAACAATAGCAACAACAGCAGCAACAAAACAGCAACAACAACAGCAGCAACCACAACAGCAGCAACAACAGCAACAACAACAGCAACAACAACAACAAGGCCAAATAATTTCCCCATAATTTCTCTCCTACTCTCGCGACCCATTTCATCTCCCGATCTGCAGACGACATCTGCAAACGGATTTCGCGCCTTTCCATCCAGTGCAATGGACCACAGGGTCAGCGCCGCTCGTTGAAAGGTCTCTTCCGCATCGCCGGACGCGCCGAGGCTCGCGACCAGTTCACGGCGCCGTTCCTGGTGGTCGGGAGAACGGCAAGGTTCGGTGTGGAGGTCAAAGGTGTATTGAGACCTACTTGTAAGATATGACTCTGAGCTCCAAGATATAGGGAACTTGAGGTGAAGAATATTAGGGGTTTGGTCGGAACAAAAATCACTCGAATCCAATTGAACTTTGAACATGAACCTCTAGCAGCAGCTTAGTGAATCAGTAGCAGTAGATGCTTCCCACGTTCAGATTCCTGTCCAAACTGGTGTTCATTGGTCTTCGGAAGCAGTGGCTGCTGCTCACTTGGCTCACTATGGCTCACTATGGATACCGTGAACAAACACAGCTAGCTGAATTCCAAACGGCTTCACCCCCTGATAACAATGAGGTCTCGCTACATATAGTTGTCCCCAAACAGATAGTGGCACCGGTTCCAATACATGTTGAGTGGGGATTTACTCTATATATAAGCACAACATGACCAATCTGAAGTATCGGAGCACTGCAAGCCTGAAATCGCCAGCTGATTAAAGGTATAAGCATAATAGCCAACTGACCTTACATCATGAGCATAAAGCATACAAGTATATTGCTACTGTATAGTGTAGGCAAAAAGCGGTGAGTACGTAGTTTTCAATGCACTTTGCCCTCCAGCCCCCACCAGATGTAAAAAGCAAGAAGTGAACAATTTGATGTCAAACGGCGCAGGTGTTCTCCTCCCTCAGTCAGTTTCTACATGTTGCTTCATTCTACGAATATTGGTATTAATAAATCGACTCTTCAACCCGCTCCTCCCCCTTGCACTGCCCATAGCTCTGAAAGACCTGGCAGTCGCTGAGGCAAGCTCGGTGCTGAGCCTTAAACCATCTTAAACTGCGTGTGACATGCAAACAGCATTCAACCAACCAAACAAAGCCAGCAAAACGGGCTGGGCTGCTTACAACTCCCGTCAGCATGTCAAATGTTTGCCCAAACGGAGCGGGAGCCACCGCTGAGGCTTTAAACATCGACCCATTTAAAGGTCGTGTCGGTGTGCTGGGTGCTTCCACCCACCGGAGGACCCAAGGGAATCCTACAAAAGCTGGCACACCTTTCGGAGGACCTGGTGGCTCATTCCTCTGTATCAAGCAAGGCGATGGCCTGCAATGTGCTAGCGATGGCCTCCAACCTAAGAGCGATGGCCTCCAACCTAAGAGCGATCTCCAACCGGCCAACTCTCCAACCGAAACAGTCGCCTTGGCAGGCCCACTGGCTGCCCAGCGAGGAGTTGCCATGGCGAGAATGGCAAGGCCACGCCGTCCGGGTGAAATGGAAACCCCAGAAATTCAACCACCCAAAGTGGCAGATTGAAACGATTTAGGATGATAGGCGACGGTCTTTTCAGAGATAGAACTGAGTCAAGCGAGTTTGGTCACATGTGAGAGATGTGAATTTCAGTTCAATGTAGTTCGATCGGTTGTCTGAGATTTGGTGTCATACCACTACTTGATGAAAGAACATTAATTAGCCGGGATATGGATATTCTTTTCAATAATTAGGTATCATGAGATGCTTTGAGTCGCAGGTCCTCTTTCCACTCCGAAAAGAACCAGGCTTGACAATCACGTTGGGCAACCATCTTTCCGGTCTGCTTCTTCAGGAATTTCTGGTGACCGCCCTTCCTGCACTCAACGACAACGACTTCTTCCAACACAAACGACTGAGCCAGTGCAGTCGGATGACGAGGCAGTAGTTCCATGGAGTTGGGTGCCCCAAACGCGACCAATGGTACTGACATGTGCTGACCTATATTTGGGGTACATACAATGGTTTCAGCGTAGATGGCGCAAACCCCAAGATGTTTTTGAGATGGGGTCCATATATAAACCACCTTTTGGGGGTTTGTGCCATCTACTCTGAATCTCTGAAACCACTGTATATCCTCTAACCAGGACCCACTGGAAGATGATGATAGTTAGGTCGCAGGCATTTCTCTAAAATAGTGATCACAAAGGTGACGTTCTTGTTTACCAACTGTTACCGGTAGGCTGGGACACTCCATGCATGACATATTTGGGGTGGTTGTGGCCCCGGGGTCCATGTTGTTCTTGGAGGATCAAGGTGCCCAGAACATCCACTCACCAGGGCCTTTAAAGACCACCAAAAGACATGAGCCCAGGACACATCCGACCCACTGTTCTTGTTCTTGTTCTTGTTGTTGTGGTTGTAGTTGTAGCTGTAGTAGTAGTAGTAGTAGTAGTAGTAGTAGTAGTAGTAGTAGTAGTAGTAGTAGTAGTCGTAGTAGTCGTAGTCGTAGTAGTCGTAGTAGTCGTAGTAGTCGTAGTAGTCGTAGT